TTTTCCTTTTCCTTATCTTTTTTAGCCTTTTCCTTCTTCTTTTCTTTCTCCTTTTCCTTCTTTTTTCGAGCCTTTTCTTCTTTTTCGTCAAGAATTTGAACTTCTTCAGGTTGTTCCATTTTTCTTAAAAATAAATTTTTAAAATTCTTAAAATTAACTAAAAAAATTTGATTAATCGTGGCAACAAGCCGTCCATTTTTATGTTTGGAAATAGCGTGTAAATTTAAGAGAGACGTCAGTCAATCAGCTTTCTTTTTAGTTAATACGTTTCAGTGCCTACTTTTTATTGTGTGCTGAAATTGACATTAGAGTCCCGTTTGTTTTAATCAAAAATTATTTCTAACAAATTCGATTTCCTTTCCACATTTTTAATGAATGTGAAAATTAATAATAAATTAAAAATCCAATCCCTTCCTAAAAAATCTGGATTTGGAACAGTGATTAACAAAAAAATTTTTTGCAAACATCAATACTCTAATACATCGACGACAAGAAAAAAATTAATTCAAGAAAAAATGAGGCGTTCCAAAATACATTTAACAGTTTATAAAACTTAACAGACAAAAAAAGTCCTTAACAATTACTAAAAAAGAAATAAAAATTTTCTCTTAGGTCTATCTGAAAGCCAATAAAATTTCCTATAAAATAGACCGGCACTTAATTTTTCTAAAATATATCTGTTTAAAGTACAGAGTTCAGCGGTATCGGGATTTAAAGAAAAAATTGGGATTTTGGAATGGTGAGATCCCGGATCCCGACACGGGATCCGGGATTTTGGAACAGTGATTAACATCAACAGACAAAAAAATTTTTGCCAAACATCAATTTTATTTACTGAAAAAAATGTTTTAAAAAATATATAATAGAATAATTGACCATTTTATAAAATAGAGATTTAATAGTGGAAGCTTTAAAAATTTTAATTTAAAAAATACACATTTATTAACAGAAATTAAATATTTTAGAGAAATAAAAAAAATAATTCTAGGAATATATTTAAATAATGAAAAATAAAATAAATTTTTCGATTTCCTAGTTTTTTAAGAGGTTCTTTTATAGTCGCGCGAAAGTGTGAAAAAATATATTAAATTTAATAAAAATAGCAGAGTGTGTGGGTAGGTTAATTAATGAGCAAAAAATATTTTTGAAGAAAAAATCCTAGCGAGTAAAAAAACAATTTAAATATACAGTCAAATCACGTTATATAAGATACATCCCTCGAGGTTGAAAAAATAGTCTCTTATAATGAGGTGTAAACTAAATAGAGGTTAGAAGGGGGAGGATGGAGGGGGAGGTATCTTATAATAATCATTGACTGCCCACCTAAAAATAATAAATTAAAATAAAAATATTTTGGACTTTAAAACTATGTTAAAATCATCATAATTTTTATTTACAAAAAAATTTTTTTGTTTAACAACAAAAGAAAAATAATATCCTGTGTAAAATTAAATGAAAAATGCACTAACAAATACTAATATGTATTCATTAAAAAATTTTTTTTTCAATTACTGTCGAACAAAGATACCCCCTATTTAAGATACCATCACTATAAGACACTACCAATAATAGATACCCTCTATTTAAGGTACAACTCATTATAAGAGACGAGTTTTTCTACCCACAAGGGGTATCTTATAATAAAGTTTAACTGTGTGTATTTAAAATAAATTTTTCAACCATCTTAAATAATTTAATAAACAATTATTTAAAAAAAGACTATTTGAAGAATAATGAATAGGTAGTTGGTAGCATACATATTTAAAAAAATAATTTGAATTTTAATATATTAAAACAATAAAAAGACAATTAAATAAAAAGAAAATAGAGAAAAACTAGTGATTTTTAGGAGAAAGAGGGAGGTGTTTAATTAAAATTAAATAAAAATAATATATTTTATGTGGGATTATTTCTTTGTTGTGAAGGCGATTGTGTTGAATGAGGAATTTGTTGTTGTGATTGTAACCATTGTTGTTGTTGGGTAGAAGACGGAGGTGAATTAAATTGAGAAATACTTGCACCACCATTTTGTTGTCCTCTTCCTCCTCCTTGAAAATATTGTTGTTGTGGTTGTCCTTGTCTTTGAATAAATTGTTGTTGTTGGGAGGAGGAGGATGTTGATGATTCTGAAGGATGCCTCATTTGTTGTAAAATATGTTGACCTTCTGGGCCTTCCCTTTTTGTCATTTTTAAAAAAGCATTAAATAAATGAGGAGTTTTTCTGAGATCTTTGAATATTGCTTCCTTATCTTCTGGAGAAGTTGCTGTTTTAAACCTTTCAAAAATTAGGTGAAATTGTTGTTGTTGTTGCTGCTGTTGTTCTGGTAATGGATGGCCTAAATACAAAAATTTTTATTTTTTTGTTGAAAATGTGGTAATAAAATTTTTTTAAAATAACAATCGGACCTCGATATAAAAAACCAACTTGGAAACGAAAAATCGTCTCTTATAATGAGGTGTATTTTAAAAAGAGTGTATAGTTTAGAAAGCTTTCGCCCACATAGAGGTTGGTCAATCAATCTTAATAAACAAATCCTATAAATAGGTTTTTTTCTTCACCAAGTGAAGAAAGAAATTGATGAAACTTGTTCACCGTTAAAGGCAAAACTTCTTAAAAGTCTGGAAGGGCAAGATAAATCCTTTGATATCCCTTCAATTCCTATGATACCCCAATTATCCGTCTAGTCTCCCGATATCCTCCAAATTCATCAATATTCACTTACACCCTTGATCCCTCGATATCATACCCATCCCTGAATTTGTCCTTTGACCTCCCAAATCCATCTTAATCCCTGCAAATCCCACAATATACACAGATTTGTTCATTTTTCAGCGGCGCAGGCAAAAAATTTTTTAAAGCATCAACTCCAAAACGAGGAAATTTTTTAATTTGAGCTTAATTTAGTTGGTAAAACCGGAAACCACGTTACTGGTTTCATCTTAGTCACGAAACCAGTAACGTAGTCATCACATCCTAGTCATCAGAAGATTTTCTTAAGCTTAGTGTGAAAATAGAAATAGAAGATAATTTTTGTGCTGTTTTTTGAATTTCTTATTGCTCAGAAGCGTGAATTTGTCATTTTTGGCGCCAAAAAATTCAAATTTTTGCAAGCTCGAATCGACAGTGGACAAAGACAATTAAAAAATTTGGCTAGGTGGTTGAGAGCGCTGACTACAAAATCCCTAATTAAAAATAGGTCTCGGGTTCAAATCCACTCATGGAAAATTAATTTTTTCTAATTAAATATTGAAAGATAATCACGTAAAACATTAATTGTTCTATCAAAAATTATTTCGAAAATATTTCTTCGTCTTCTCACCTCCTCCACCACGTTGAGGTGGTTGCTGTGAATGTTGAAATCTATGTTGCTGTTGAGGTCTATGTTGCTGTCCCATTTGTTGTTGTTGCTGTTGAACAAAAGACAAATTTTGTTGTTGTTGGCTTGGACTTGGACGAATTCCATAAGAAGGAGGATTTATTTGTTGTTGTTGAGAGATTAATGGGTGTTGTTGGTGAATTGTACCAGCTGAGGGAACTCGATGAATACTCGCTCCTCCGACGCCCTAAAAATAAATTTTGAAAAATTAAAATTTTTTAATTTCTAGGACCGGTGGCATTTGATGAGGATGGGAATTTGGTCCTCCAATTATTTGTTGATGATAACTACTTCCAGATTGTTGTTGTCCACCAATAGGAGGGGAGTTAACCATACGATTTTGTAATTGATTTTGAATATCTAAAAGGTGTTATGTGAAAAATAAACAGATAATTAGACATGTCAAGGGACAAACCCGAGACCATGAATTTTCACAGAATGATTGGAAAAACAGATTGATTCTTTAGGAAATTAAGCTAGAATGATTCGACAATCAACTCGAAAAAACTGAGATAAAAAAGACAAGTAAGTTGGTCGGGTCAATATATGTAGTCAATCACAAAAAATGTCCCAATCCTTCGGTAATATTTTGGCTGATCCTCCCTCCCACACCCACTTTTTTCTTGAATTCCCTGAACATTTTGATATCCTTTCCTAATTTGTCAAAAGAGAATAAGGGGAGGGAACAGCCAAACTATTACCCATCCTTCTGCTCGAAAAATTTTGTGACTTGTTCAGTAATTCAAAACATATATTAAGTGTTTCATAATTCAAAAAAAATTTTCGTACGATGAAATTCTGCTGGACCATTTAAACGCAAATGTGATTGTTGTTGTATACTTGATGGAATAACTTGGTTTGATTGAATTCCTCCAGCTATATGTTGTTGTTGTAGTATTTGTGAAGAGCCATAGTAGTTAGACCGGCGTATAAGTCGTCAGGGGCAGCGGGGTCCAACCATTTAGCCCCTCCCCCTTCTTAAACGTTCATTCAACAACTCCGTCGTCAAAGTCCAAAGGTTCAAGACGCTTCCAAAGTATCAAAAGGTTTAAGGGGTAATTTGAATAAACCGGTTTAATTTTGAACTTTTTAAAGAAAAACAATCCTTCTCTCTATTTTTCACAATATTACAGATTCCCAATGTTTCAAGGGTTTAAGAAGTTTCTTTTAAATGGTTCAAAAGATGTACTCTTAAAGATGCTTAGAGAAACACCCTTACAACTCTCTCTATATCCTCTAACCCTTATTTATTCATTTTACCCTTTATTTTTGAAAAATACAAAAATTATTAAAAAGTAGGCGTTGAAAAGTGAAAATATATAAAAATCAGTCATGCAATAATTATGTTGCAAAAATAAATCAAAAAATAGGTCATGCACGAGAAAAATTTGTAAATTGATGTTGAAAAGTGAAAATTGGGTAAATTTGAAAAAAATAAAAGTTAAAAAGTGAAAATTTGGTAAAAATAGATCAAGTAAAAAATATTATGAATAGTTATTAAAATGTAGGCGTGGAAAAGTGAAAATTGGCTAAAATATATCAATCAAAAAGACATTTATAAATCCAAGTTTTTAGGATTTTATTTCATTCTTTAAATTTAAAAAAATTATTTTACTAACCTTAAATGACTCCACCACCATCAAAGCGAGCACGGAGTTTTATGATCAACAATCTTCTTGATCTGCAGCTTGGCGGCGGTGATTTTTTAAAATATTTGGGGGAGGAAACTAAGATAACCCGGAAATTTAACCTTACCAAACTATCAACTAAATTTTTAATACACGGTCTACCTGATGAACCTGAGGGGCTTTTAAAAGAAATTTTTCAAAAATGTATTGACCAGACCCTAGAAACGAGCCGTGATCATCAACTTGACCCTGACCAACTTGGCTGTACAGTGAGCAGTCAGTTACTAGAAACTGACATTTGGATCCCGATCAGGGATATCAACAACAACACTGTAGACGCTATACTTAACCAATTCCTCAAGGTGGCCCAGTCCAAAAAACAGGATCAAGGTATGTTATGGGGCGACCCATTTAATGTTTCAGTAACAACAATCGACAGAAAGAATCTCCCTTCTACACGTACAATTCAAGGCAGCGGCAAAGATTCGACAACACAACATAAAATTAAACAACATAATCTTATTAAAATTATTAACTCCGACAACTATTGCTTATTTCGTTCATTATCTGCCACCTTTGTATTTGCAACATCTTCTTGGCCAAAATGGAAATTTTATGACTACATTCATAGCAGAAGAGGCATGACTCATCAACTCGAGAAGGATGCACTGGAAATGATGAACAAAATTAATGCTCCTTCTGGTCAACCTACTTATGCTGCAAATGATTGGGTGCCAAAAGTTGTGGACTACTGGAATTCTCTGAATAAAGGTGGATTTAAAGTTTTTATTTTTGGAGAATTGGGTATAAAACCTATTTTTAAATATGGGGCTGAAAATTATAATACACCAATTCTTCTTTATTTTTCTAATAATCATTTTGATGGAGTAAGAAAGGCAGGTGATTTATTTGGTAAGCCTTACTGCCTTAAATGTGAAAAGGTGTACCATAGACAAAACGACCATGCTACATCTTGTTCTTCAAAGTGTCAGAACTGTTCAAGGATTGGACCCGATTACCCATGTCAACAATCAGACAACTTCTTCAAACATTGTTCTGGTTGTGATAAAGAATTTAATAATGAAGGCTGCTACAAATACCACCTAACATCAAATTTTTGCAACAACTCGAAGAGATGTGAAAAGTGTGGAGTTATATGGAATGTTGTTTTGAATAATAGGAATGGACGTACTGGGCATGTTTGTTCAGAACGTTACTGCAACACATGTTTCAGCTACCACGACCCTAAAAGAGGATGCTTTATCAAACCTCTAACTCTCAACAAGTCAAAACCGTACCGGATTATCGCTTTTGACTTTGAAACCATGCAGCACAAACAAGGAGAAAAAGGAAAACTACATGAAGTCAATTTCATTTCAGCAAAAATCAATTGCCCTGCTTGTATTGCTAACGGTTTGAGCAACAACAACTGTAAAATTTGTGGAGAAAATAAAACAATTACATTCTCCCATCAGCCATTCACCAATACAACAGTTGATCAACAGAACATCACAAATGAACCTCTGACAGATTTTGCAACTTGGATAATCAATACTTCAATTGATACAGTAGCCTTCTCACATTTTGGTGGAAGGTTTGATATGGTACTACTCTTCAAAGAATTGTATCTTCTTGGCCTAACTCCAGATATGATTAAGAAAGGAAACAAAATGTATGAAATGAAGGTGAAAAATTCTAATAAATGCTGGATAATCTTCAGAGACACCTACAATCTTATGCCGATGCCCTTGGCATCTCTTGTACCTGCGTTTGGACTGCAAGTGGAAGATAAACCTTTCTTCCCCCACCTGGCCAACAATCCAAAAAATTATGGGAAAGAAATCTTCCCGACTAAAGAAGACTATATTTACAATGGGATGATGCCTGAGAAAAGAGTTCAATTCGATAAATGGTTTGAGCATCACAAAAATGAACCCTTTAACTTGGACGAACAACTAGCATCTTACTGTACAAATGATGTCGAAATCCTCATGGCAGCTCTTGTAGCCTTCAGAAAAGAATTTTTGGAAGTTTCCAACGGACTTGATGTACTTCGAGAATCGATGACTATAGCTTCAGCATGTATGAAGCACTTTCGACTGAACCATCTCAAACCACAACACGTTGGGATTGTTCCTGAAAAAGGATACGACAACGTCGACAACCAAAGTTTGTTGGCGCTCCGATTTCTCAAGTGGTATGCTGAGAAAAACAACATTACTATTAGGACAGCACACTCAAAGAATGGCGAAAAGAAGATTGGTAATTATAAATTGGATGGGTGGATTAAAGAAAAGAAGCTGGCTATTGAAGTCAATGGGTGCTGCTGGCACGGGTGCATCAAATGCTACCCAGACGACAATATAAAACTTCCAACTGGTCTCACAGCAGGGCAGCAGAGGCAAAAAGATCAACAACGTCTCAACTTTATCAAGAATTTAGGTGTGAATGTTGAGGTCTACTGGGAATGCGAAATAAGGAATATGCTTTCCAAGGATTTTGAGATGAGAAGAATGTTTAAAAATTATTTGGATGATGGGCCTATCAACATTAGGTCAGCATTTTATGGGGGAAGAACTGGCCCTTTAAAGCTATTTCATTCTGCACAGCAAGGAGAAAAAATCTCCTACTACGACGTGACATCCCTTTATCCCTTTATAAATGTTTCAACGAGGTACCCGGTTGGACATCCAGAAGTGCACGTTGTCAACAAAGATGTCAACTGGACTAAACCTGAGGACAACACCTTCAACCTTTCACTTTTAAAATTATTTGTCGTCCCCCCACGACAAATAGATATTCCAGTCTTACCTATGAAAATTGGGGAAGATGAAGATGAACGACTACTCTTCCCCCTGTGTTCCACATGTGCCAAAGAACACCCACATGGGGATGTCAAGGAAAATTACTGCTGTCCCCATTCAGATCAACAAAGAGGGTGGGTGTCTACATGTACATCTATTGAACTGAACGAAGCCCTCAAGGAGGGTTATATTGTCACCAAACTCTTCAGAGTTCTGGAATTCAAAAACTACGACGACAAACTCTTCAACCCTTACATTAGTGAATTTATGGCCCAGAAAATTCACTCTTCTGGCTTCGACAACTCCATCAAAGGGGACAAGTTGAAAGAAGATAAGTTTATGGAAGAATGCTTGGAAATGTTTGGAATTAAAATTGAGAGGGAGAAAATGGTGGCCAACAAAGGGAAACGGACACAAGCAAAATTGTGTCTTAACAACTTATGGGGAAGGTTCTCCCTACGTAACTTTGGCCTTTCGCAATGCAAAATTACCGACGACCCTAATGAATTGGCAAAGATGTGCGACGACCCTTCCATTACCATCAATTCAATTGACGAACTTACCGAAGAAGTAATACTTATAAACTACATCAAAAAGAAGGATTGGGTGGAGGAGCATGACTCCTCAAATGTCATCATTTCGCTCTGGACTACATCAGCAGCGAGGATCCACCTTCTGCATGCCATGCAGAAGGTTGTGAGGACAACTGGTTGTCAGCTTCTTTACACCGACACAGATTCCTTAATCTTCTCACATCCAGACAACAATTGTCCTCTTCAATTAGGGCCTCATCTGGGGCAATTTACAGATGAGTACCCGGATTTCAACATCTTGGAATACTGTTCTGGAGGGGCCAAGCAATATGGATTGAAACTACAAAAGAAGACTACTCCCAACAATGAACCTGACTACGTTCTCAAAGTCCGTGGGATGACGCTAAACTGGGATGTGATCAACAACCAAGGATTGTGCTATGAAAACTTCAAGAAGCAAGTTTTTGATTTTATGAAATATGATAATATTCCCCTTTTAATTAAGTACCCAAATTTTCTTAGACCATCGATTAAAGATGGTTCCATAATTACTCAACCTCTTACTAAAATTTATAAACCTTATGTCGGAAAAGGTATTGTCCGCCCTTCTGATTTTGTTGTTCTAAATTTTGGTCATATTAATGACAAACATCCTCGAATTTTGCTCTGAATTCAACAGGAGTTGGAAAGTAGCCAGGGGTATGGGCACCCAAACTCTATACCAACTATCGTAATGTTGTGAGGTAATCCTCGCATGTAAAATCGGTGGTAGTGGACTTGAGTAAATTCTCAAGTCCCTGGTTGAGTTTGGTGATGCCTGTCGAATGGCGAAGCCACACTCCTATCTTATCTATTTTTCTATTTTTACCTATTTTTGTAAACTTTTGTACATTTATTGTAAATATTTTATTTTATTCACGATTTTTAAATACAGTTTTGTAAATAATTTTTATTTGTGATAAAATTTTAAAATACAATTTTGAAAAATTTTATAATTAGGAGTTACAAGTTTTAGGGGTAAAATTACATAATTAAGAGAAAGAAGATAGAATTTTAAAAATATTAAAAAATTATGAGAATGAAGACATAGATTTTAGGGGAGATTTTACATAATTAGTTAAACAAAGTAGCAGATTTCAGAATTAAGGAAAAGGAGTTGTTCATTTTAGGGGTAAAATTACAAAATTAAGAAAAAGAAGATGAAATATATCAATTTTCATCTTTTTCACTGTGAGATAGGCGTGCGTGTGTAGAGGGCGTGCGTGTGTTGAGGGTGTGCGTGTGTTGAGGGTGTGCGTGTGTTGAGGGTGTGCGTGTGTTGAGGGTGTGTTACCAACCATCTTGACTAAAATCTCCTCTGTACATCTCCATCTCTTCCTCAAATTCCTTATCCATAACTATTTCGGGGCTATCTGGTGGCGAAGAGATACTAAGCTTTTCCTCAAATTCAGATGCCAAACTTTTATGTTGATCTTCGTCGTCAACAAATTCCAACAGTTCGATTGGATAAAATCTATCTTTATCCCATAATCGTCGTTCAATAACACAATTTAGGTAAGGATTTTTAAGTTGAATTCGATGTCTTGTATAAAAATGTTGAGCGATGCTAACATTATAAGGACGTCTTAAAGGTCCATAAGCGCGAATTTTATTGGCACCCTTTCTTGTGAGACCTCCAAATAGAAACGTCTTCTTTTCTAAATCTCTATTCAAATATGTCGTGCGGACCTTACGATCCAAAAATTTTGTTAATATACGGATTCTTGTCTCAGGAACATTTAGATGACAACTTAGACTTCGGACTGAACAGTCGAGAAAACTTGCAATTTCATCTATGACAAGAACCATTGTGAATGTTTGAAATGAAAAACAAAAATTCCAGAGTTTATATATTCATCTAAGTAGGGCGTGACTTAATTTTATTTTTATTTAGTTGCGACCTAATTTAATAAATTCCACATAAAAATCATTCATGAGTGAAGAAAGTGACGAAATCATAAAGTATGTTAAGGGTGTGCGCGAGTATCGTGAATTTAAAATAAGAACCTATGTGCATTCAATCAATGATGCTCTAAAACAACACATTCAACTTGATATGGGAGCAAGGCTTTGCATCCTTATTAATTACTTTCGCGCAGGGAAATGGTGTGATGAATGCCTTAGCTTCGTTGTGAGCCAATTTCAAGATGATATAATGATGCCCAAGGATGAAAAATCTTTTTCATACGCTTTTTATCTTTGTCCAGAATGTGCTGATATTACCAAAAACTATCTCGATAATTTATAATTTTATTCACAATATATTTTACAAATAAATCTGGATTATGAACATTGTTTAACATTTTAAGATATTGGGGAAATGTATAACCTTTAGAAATGAAATAAATAAGAGAAATACAATGGTGGGCACAATAATTAGAATTTAAGGATTGGTATGGTTTTAGGTTTCTATTAACAATTGAAAAATCTTTTAAAAATGAATCAATAATACAAATGCTTGTGGGTAAATTTAAACTATCAAAATAGACTACTTGTTCATTTCCTTGAACGTAAATTGTAATCCAATGTGAACCTGCAAATCCTTTGGGGTCCAAGTTTACAATTAAAGCTTTGCCTTCTTCAGGCTTGGGTAGATTGTTACACGGAAAGCATCCCTGGAAGATTTTGTTTGTGGAAGGATTTGAGCTCAATATTTTTGTTATCTGATCGCTGTCCATTATTCTTATAAGTTTTTAACCAAAAAATTGAACGAAGTTGATAAATAATTAAGCTTCCTATTAACATAATATATAGTCCTATCATTCCCCAGCAAAACACGTGGCCATACAGGTCCGTAGGGCTTTCTTTACAGAGAGTAGGTAGATTCTCAAAAGGGAATGTTGCAAAGGCTGGTATAGAAGCGGATATTCTTGGCTGGGTTGTATTTTTCTTTGGAAATCCTAATTGACGTAGATAAGCTGAATACTCAGGGATCTCCTCTAATTCATCCATAGCTTCTTTATATAGTCCTACACACGGAGAAAATATCCGAATTAAAAATAAAGTTACTAAAATTCCTTTCATTTATTCAAATGGTAGTGTCACTTGCTATTGTCCGGTTTTTATCTAGCATTATAAGGGAGTCCGCCTCTCCCATAACAACAAGCATGACTCCACCCTCTGGGACTGGCTGATTGAATTTGATGTTTATGGCTGTGGTCCCATTTTTTATTAAATCAAATGTCCCACTGTTATCATCCCCACTATTATTTTCAGAGGTATTTGTATAACCAATAGCCTCATTCATGTCGTGAAAGGCTCTTACATATCTTCCATTTTTATAATCAAAGTCATAAGATGCCTGAGGGTATGGTCTTCCATTTGCTATAATACTAATTTCTCTAACATTAAAATGTTGAAAGTTGAAAGGGCTTCGATTTATCGATCCAACATAATCAGAGTTTGCAACTAGACCTAATGTAATTCTTCTAGGAATTTGGTCCATGAACAAGTTTGCATTAAATTCATATCTACCCTGACTTATGAAAAGCGGTTTCATCATCGTTTTTCTTATTGAATATCTTGCAGGTTTAGTTTCAAGTTTTCTGGCAATATCTAGAGAGAGACCATCCATAAGATCAATCTTTTTTACGTATAGCTTACAGCTTACAACTTCAAAATTATAGGTAATTGGTTGGTCAATCCCAAGTACTGGAGGAGCAATCAATACAAATTTCGTGTCATTAGGAAGTAATTCAATATCAATTTCACAATGATTTATTAGATAGAGAGGTTGGTTGAATATATCCGCATCAAGCTTTGAAATGAATTGTGCCGTCTTACTTGAAGAAAATAAATTTTTTCTTGCATTATACGCTGTGCCATCCTCAAGTTTTATGTCAGAATCATAGTAATATCCTGCAGCGTTCAAATGGGAACTTTTTGCCCCTTGAGAATAAGAAAGTTCGTGTGAAAAATAAGTCTTGTAGGCATAGAGTGAGTTTGAATTAAATATTTCCCTACCATTTACATTAATTCGCATATTATTTATAAATGTTTGACCTATTAGTTGTATAGGCGCAACATTATCAGTTGCAGCGAGTTTGACCAATCTCCCATCATCGCCCTCCTTCTTTATACGAAATTCAGTAAATAAATAAATTTTAGATAGATCAATATAATTTTGACTACTATGAATTTTAAAATGATATGGTGTATCAGTGAGAGGATTACTTGGTAAAATTTCAAAGACCTTGGATGAAGAAATGCTCACATTTGTTGGTGGGACTTGGAAAAAATCAAGAGCATTTGTAATAGAATTTATACTATCTTTATCAATTTTATGGAAACTCATTCTTAATAAAAACCAAAAGCGTCAGATTTTAATCTTTTTCTTTTAATAATTGTTTGATGACTAGGAATTGTCTTTCTTTTTATACCCCTTCCTGATCCAAATTGTTTAGGTAAACCTCCTTTTTCAAGCACTGTATCAATTCCCTTCTTTCCTTCACTGACTAAAGCTTCTTTTATAGGTTCTCCTTGGATTACCCTTCCCAATGCACGTTGACCTGTATTTAGTGCCTCCTCTGAGACAGTCGTGCCTACACGTCGCATAATCGGTAAGAAAAATCTCCAAAGTCCTCTCATAACATCTCCAATTCCAGCTCCTTTCTGCCCATATCCTCTTTGAAAAGGAGCTGTACCCTTAAAATAGTCATCTGTAATTCCTCCTCCCTTCATTGGAATAAAGTCATCATAGCTTACAGTACTAGTATCAAATAAAATGTGCACCATTTTTAATCATGAATGAAAAAATCAGAAGTTTATCACCTTCTTAAATATCAAGACGATCAGCACTGTACCAAATTCAAATGGTACAGGTCGACCGTTATCCATCGTTCTGAGTTCAATCTCAATCTCATTTACCTCTTTAGGTAATACTCTTGCATAAATTGGTGAATCATATATTTTCTCATAATATTGTCCTGGGGTGGCTCCAGCCACAGAAACAACTCTTAGGAGTGAACTAAGTGAATTGCCTATGATCATACTTTCTGTAAGACCTCTTGAATATACAGCGAAGCTTGAGAAACCTCCTCTTAGATCACAACCATATTTGGCAATTTCATTATTTTGAACCATATTTGGATTTTGAAAGCCTAATACATAACCTAATTGATTTGAAAAAGAAACATATTTGATGCTTGGGTGTGTGAAGGTAACTTTAAATCGTTCAAAGTCGCTATGATAAAATAATTCTATTGAATCTATAATTTGTTTTTGTGTTGTCGAGTCTACCTTGCCTACTTTACCATATTTTCTTACAAGGATAGGCATATTTGGAAGATAATTTATTCTTGTCTGAGGTGTTACTTTCTGTCCAAGATTTGCAAGTACATGTGTAAGCACTCGTTCATATTCTTCAGTCCATAAAGGATCACTAAATGTAGCTTCAGGCTTTGGGAGTTGTGGAAGTGTAGGCGAACTCGGTAAGGATTGTCTTTCAGCTGATGATGAGGGAGATGCATCTCTCAATTCTTCTTCTTCGCTATCTTGTGTCAAAGGTAGATAGACGGGTAAAGAAGGTTGAGTTGATTTTAGTTGAATGAGTTGCTTTGGAGGTTGAGTAGTAGATTGAGGAGTTGGTTTTGGGGTTTGAGGTTTCAGAGGTTGTGGTGTAGGTTTCGGAGGTTGTGATGTAGGTTTGGGTTGAGGTGGTACAGGTTTTGGAGGTTGTGGTGAGGGTTTTGGAGGTTGTGGTGTGGGTTGAGGTGGTGCAGGTTTTGGAGGTTGTGGTGAGGGTTTTGGAGGTTGTGGTGTGGGTTGAGGTGGGGTGGGTTTTGGAGGTTGAGTTGTAGGTTTTGGAGGTTGTGGTGTAGGTTTGGGTTGAGGTTGTGGAGGTTGAGGTGAGGGTTGTGGTGTTGGTTTAGGAGGTTGAGGAGTGGGTTGTGGAACGGGTTTTGGAGGATGTGGTGGTGGTTGAGGTGTAGGTTTTGGAGTAGGTTTTGGGAGTTGTGGTGTGGGTTGAGGTGGAGTGGGTTTTGGAGGTTGGGGTGAAGGTTTTGATGGTTGTGGCGGAGGTTGTGGAGTAGGTTGTGGAGCGGGCTTTGGAGGATGTGGTGATGTTTGTGGCGGAGGTTGTGAAGTTGGTTTTGGGGGTTGTGGAAGTTGCGGTGTAGGTATAGGTTGTGGAGTGGGTTGTGGAGTTGGTTGTGGTGAGGGTTGTGGTGGAGGTTGTGGAGTTGGTTTTGGGGGTTGTGGTGTAGGTTTCGGAGGTAGTGGTGCAGGTTTTGGAGGCTGGGGAGTTGGGTGAGGTATAGGTTGTTGAGTGGGTTGTGGAGTGGGTTGTGGTGTTGGCTTTGGGAGTTTTGGTGTGGGTTGTGATGCTTGTTTTGGAGGTTGTGGTGTAGGTACGGTTGGTTGTGGTGTAGGCTTAGGAGGTTGAGGAGTGGGTTTTGGAAGTTGTGGAGTGGGTTGTGGTGTAGGTTTTGGAGGTTGTGGAGTGGGTTTTGGAGTTTGAGGAGTTGGCTGAGGTATAGTTTGTGGAGTGGGTTGTGGTGTAGGTTTTTGGGGAGCTATTTTAGTAAGTTTAGGAGATGTACTACGCTGTGAAGAATCTAGTTCCCTTTCTGCAGAGGATGAAAGGGCTGGGCGTCTAAGTTCTGTTTCTTCAGAAGATGAACGCGAAGCTGCTTTAAGTTCTCTTTCAACAGAAGGTTTTTTATTAGGTGGTTCTTCTTCTTCGGCCGATGATGAACGAGTTGGCATTTTAAGTTCCCCTTCAGGAGATACACTACGTTTAGGTCTGCGGACACTTGGAGGTTTTACTAATGTCTCAGGTTTTTCCAAGGATGATCCTTCTATAGCTCCTGCTTGGTGATCTAAAGTAGATAACAAAAATTGATGTAAATCTTCCACAGTCGTGTGTGAACCTTTAGGAACTGGTACACGAATAATACTAGCCCTCCCATCATTTTTAGTAAAATGAATGTCAATCCATTGTTCGTCAAGGGTACCAATTGTTGAAGGCCATGAATATGGATAACTTATGCTGTGCAAACCACAAACCCAGTCTCCAGAAAAGTATAGAGGTCTTGGTAAATGGACTCGGAATTTATTTGGTCTATTATCTGGATAATCGGAAACATTACTAGGAAGAAAAACAAAGAAAGTATTTGACATTTTTATCAAAATGAAATAAAAACAATTAAATATGCTTTTTATACTAGTTGTGTCTCATGGATCCATTCTCTTTCAGGATAACCTATAAACTTCACTAAAAGATCGTATGTCCCATCTGGTCTCTTCTTCTTTTTTACAACCTTCTCTATCCTATATTCAGTATCAGCATCCTTACGAACTCGAGCTAATTCCTCTCCATAGAATGATCCTTTGAACCTCTCGCCCTTATCATCTTGAACTTTGTATCGAATTGGGTGAACATGCTTTTTAACATTCTCGACTTGAAGTATTTCATCACCCCAGTTTGGAATATAACCCTTCTCGAATACACCTTTTCCTAGACTCATTCGAACATAATCTCCTTTCTTAAGTTTTGGTTTTGTCTTTTTAGTTGAAAACACATCACCATATATCTTCTCCCAGACATCTTGAGCATTGTCAAAATTAACATCTACAGGCCTCATACCATGTACTCTACTTTTTGCCTTATTTATTCCTTCCAAAATTTTAGGGAGGACTTGAATCCAGTCTAAAGTTTTATTTTGGGCAAAATATCGATAAATACGTTGTTTAATATGTCTAATCGCCCTTTCAGCTAGTGAGGCTTTCACTTCTGAGTGAGTTGGTTCCATCTTGTGAATTTCCTCTTTTTGGAAAAAGTCGTTCATTTGAGAATTTTTAAATTCTTTTCCCTTATCTGAAAATATACGGTGTGGTTTCATAGGCATTTGTTTTATTAAATCATTGAACGCTGTAACCATATTTTCTGCAGTTTTTGATTTTACAGGTACACCAAATATTCTTTTAGATAAAACATCAATTCCCAAAAGTAAATATTTATTTCCTTTGTTGTGTCTTGAGATTGCCTGAAAATCTGCCAAATCTACTTGAACATCTGTCATAAAACCTGCAGGTATAGTCAATGCTCTGTTAAAATGAATACGTTTCGGACGCATCAAAGTATAAGTCCTGTGTCCTTCTAAATAATCTTGGACAACATTTTTAGGTATATGTTTGAGTACTTTTCTAGCCTCCTTCCATAGTCTATCCACACCTGAAAAGGCGGCGGGAGACTCTGGATTATTGTATAAATCTTGTAAAAGTTTAGTATAATCACCCATCTTTACCACAATGAAGGTTTAAATGTTTTACCGCTTGCTTCTTTGCGTTTAGCTTTTATAAGCCTTAGCATCCATTCTCTACCTGCTCTTGCTGATTGTTTTTTCGTAACAGGCTTCACCTTTTTTAAAGCAATTAAGGGGCTTTCGTCTGGGCCTTGCCATTTTCGTTTTAACTTTTGACGTCTTCGTACGTCATCTTCTTGTCGAGCCTTTAGCATTGCTGATTGGTCTAGAGGGATTTTTAGTTTTCTTATATCCCTTCTTTTTAATTCCCTTTCTTTTTGTTTCTTCCTAATATTTTCCAGACGTTTATCATCTTTTATTCTTCTTAATTCTGCTTTTTTCTGCTCCAACTCATCAATTTTCTTTCTTTTACCTTCTTCGATATTAATAGATTGCGACCTTTTTGTACCTTGGGGATTTGGCGGTGGTGGAACATATGTAACCTCTTTATAGTATTGCGGGGTGTAAGGTATCTTTTGCTCCCTGATAGCCTTTTTCCTTTCTAGATATTGTCTTTTCTTTTCCCTTTTTCTATAGTCCTCCCCATCATCGACGATTTCTTTTTTAATAGGTTTAGTTTCATAACTTTCATCTATTAAATGTCTTCTTTTGTCCGTTCCAATTTCTTCGCCTTGCTTTCTTTTAGAAGGTTTGTAATAGGTAGGAATATTTGGTTTTTTAGTTTTAGGTTTCAATGTAATTGTTGGTTTAATGTCAGGTAGGATAGGTGGAATAATATTATAAGATGGGTTTTCTTTTGGATATGAACTAAATGACATATCTTCACTCATCCACATATTATCGTCGTCTTCCCCAATATTTGAAGCTGGAAGAGAAGCGGTAGTATTCATAATTGCACCTTTTGGACTAGCAACCATCTCTACCTTAACGGGTCTATTTTGCTGTTCGTTTCGTAATTGCAAATATCGTCTAAGCTCTTGATTATAGTGAACATTTTTTGCACTTGGTGTTTCTCTTTTAAGTTTTGTTTTCTCGAGACCTTGACGTACAAAATCCAAGTTTGGTTCACCTGTATCATAGGTTGTTAAACCCTTATAAATTTCTTCTGGAACTAAAATAAATTTATTTGCCATAATTAATTTTATATTAAGATGTAGCAGGGGCTTTTATAGTCATCATCCTTGCCATTTCGATGAGCACTGGTGTCAAAAGAGCGGCAAAAACTCCTACTCCGTCACCTTTTTGATTAATAACATGTCTTGCTCCTCGTTCACTCCTAACCCTACTCATACTTCGCACAAATTCGGCATGAGGTAATAATCTTTTCTTTTGGCGAGTTGTAAGTTTGAACCTCTCTTTTACTATATTCAAACAAATTTCAGCTAAAGCTAAAAGTTGTTCATTATTTGATAATTTTAAAAGCCTTTTCCTTTTTCTTTTAGATTTAGTCTTTGACAATAAATGTAAAAATTTTAAGTTTTCATGAATTAATTGATTAACCATTTCCGTTTATAGGAATAAAAATTATCTTTTCATCGTCTTCCTTAAATATGTTGGTCCTAAGACGGAGGGTAGGATCCGAAGAAGCATGCATATCGACGAGTAAGTAACCAAAAGGTTGTTTGGTTGCCTGTCGATAGGAATCAAGAAAATAATCCAATTGTTTGGGAAATAATTGTACACCTATGTTTCTGATAGATAGCATAGAATTTGGTGATCTCATCAACACAAGATATTGAGAATTTTGTCGTGCTACTTTAATCTTCTTATCGAATAAATTTTGTGTGACAAAAATTACAGAAAAATTTTGATGGTGTGATTTTTTGGTGAATAATTCGGATAAATATTTTTCGTCAACAGATAAAATCAGATCATCAAGAATTAGTAATAGTGGCTTGGGATATTTTTTAATCAAATCCTCAGGTGGAACTCCTGCAAATACATCAACTCCAGATTTTTGCAAAAGAGGTACAATATTGTTCATCTCACCAAAGCAATAAAGTATGGACTTTGGTTTAGGTTCAATTAGATCTGAAGCCTCCGAAATAAGTTTTAATAATAATGTACTCTTTCCACTTGAACTAGGACCAGATATAATCATTCCAAAAGGTAATTTAAATTTTAAATCTTTATTCGAGAAAGCTAAGGAATTCATTATGAATAATTTATGAATATAAGAAAATTTCACTTAAATATCTTTTTAATCGGTTGGTATTCCTGTCACCGTTGCATCTAAACTCTGAAAGAAATCATCCAACTCCTCTTTTGAAGGAAGTGTATCCAAGGGTTGGGGTGTCTGTGTCACTTCTTCAGGAATTGTGGGGAGAATTTTTGGTTCAATTGGTTCAGTTTTGGGACAAGGAATCTCTGTAGAAGCATTGTAGGGTACATTAAATACTCGACCTTTGTTCTTTACTTTGAAGAAGCAATGCCCTGGTAAATCATATAATAAATCAAAAGGAACGAATCTACTTCCTTCAAACCGGGTGCAATAGACTACAACCCCTTCCTTTACTATTATAAAATCTAGTTCAACTTCGGTGCTCTTACATTTACGACACTTCCCTCCTTGGTCATAGGGAAGAAAACGGGGAGTTGTATAACGGACACTGGAAATTGTAATCCCTGTTGATGAAATATTAAATTCAACCTCAGGTAATATTTTTGGGTACTTCATTTTTAGATAATTTCTCGGTCTTATGTCTCCGATTATACTAAGTTAGGAATATTAGACGTGAAGTAAAATAAATTTCTCTATACAAAACTGAACAAGTATGGTATAAACCACCACTTTGAATATATTAGATAATTAAAACTGTTAGAGTAATTTAATACCTGAGGGGATGTTGCAATAGTTATATTTTGGTTTAAGTCTAGTTGTAAACTATCATTGTATCTCTTCATACCATAGTGGCGAAATGGTGTTAACCTATAAAATTCAAAGTCTTCTGCATTTGCCCTAGATGCTTTTAATAAGTGTATTGGACACTGACACCTTCCTGGTATAGGACCTGTAATGTTAAAAGGTAAATTCAATAAGTATTTTGGACATCTACAGGGTTCTTGTTTCCACATATCTTGCCATCTGGGATCATCTACTAGAGATATGTTTGAAGAAGAAGAAAGGGGAAATAATAAAAATAATATAAGCATTTTGATTAAAGATTGTGGAAACCTGGGGTCTTTTATACCGCTTCCATTCAAAATCTCCTGAGAATGATACGACTCAGCTCGTCGAACCGGTCAGAAAAAGTACCTATATGCCTATACTTGGAAAAGTTTCATGTTCCAAGGTCTAGAACTCGAGTTTTGAGCTCGATTTTAGGTTCAAACCACTTTGGTACGATTTAACTCATCAAACTGATCAAAATGTCAAAAATGACATATGTCAACTGACATATGTCAAAATGTCAATTGACACATTTCTGGATGTCAATTTACCCACGAAGATGTGTGAGGCTAGGGAATAGTTTGGCGAAGTGTTTTTTCAATTATTTTTTAAGAGTACCTCTTGAACCGGTTCAAAAGTACCTACTGAACCCTTTGGGAACTTCTTGAGCCTTTTGGTTAGAGAACTTTTTGGTCTTGGGAAATTTCTACTTATTTAAAATTTTTACACCCTAAACCGGTTTGTCAAAATATTCCAAACCGTTTAAACATTTTAGCACCCCTTAAACCTTTAAAATCTTTGACCAACATTGGGGTTGGTTTAACTACTTTTTATTTTATATTTAACCTTTTTTCCCTATCTAACAATAATTTTGCAAAATAATTTTTGCATGACCTATTCTATATAATTATTACTTTACCACAATAATTTTTGCAAAATTATTGCATGAATGATTTTTTGTATAATTATTATATATTTTCCTTTTTTACAATAATTTTGTAATTTTTTCAAATATTAATGGTAAAAAAAAGAGAAATGAATAGAAAATAGAGGAAAAGGTGAAACTTTAGAAGAAAAAGTTTTTAGAACAGTTTAAAGTGAAAAATATGGGAAATCTTGGTTTGAACCGGTTTAAAACCACTTCTTGAACCCTTAAACCTTTAGGAACAATTTTTACTTTTTGGATATGTAATCTTGTGATAAATGTGGGAAATCGTGTTTTGAACCGATTAAATCGGTTTAAAACTACTTCTTGAACCCTTAAACCTTTAGGAATAATTTTTATCTTTTGTATATGTAATCTTGTGACAAATATGGAGAATGGTTTGACAATGTGTTTTTCTTTAAAAAGTTCACACCAAACCGGTTTGATCAAAGTACGCTTTAAACCTTTTGAAAACTTCTTGGACCTTTGACGACGGAATGTATGTATTTTAAATACCGTTTAAATATGTGGGAGGGGCTAAATGATTGGACCCCGCTGCCCCCCGCGACATATACGCCGGACTAACTACTAGCCATAAACAGGTTGACCTGCCATAAGAGGTGACTGGGAAGGAGGTTGTACCCATCCACCGCCCATTTGAGGTCCTCCACCTCCTTGTGATGTTGATATATTGCTTGAAGGAATAGCTACTCCACCACCCCCAACACCACTTCCATTCATTCCACCACCACCACCTCCTGAACTTTGTAATTTCATCATTCTTCTTTGCATCATTCTTTCAGCTTGACGATTTTGAGATCGTTTTTGTTCTTGCAATTTTTGTCGAATTTGTTGGCAAAATGGAACCTAAATTAAATTTGAAAATCAAGTCAAATCTATTTATTAGATCACTTCTTGAAAAGAAAATCGAACTTTATAATGAGGTTATTTTAAACTGAAGGTATATCCCTCCGAAAGTCCCCCCCCCCACCCTCCCTCGCTCAATAAACAAAAAATTTAAAAAGCGAATATTAAATTGAGGGTGTGTGTGTGTCAGGGATGTCACGGGTTACCCGAAACCCGATACCCGAAACCCGGCCTTTTTTTCGACCCGATACCCGAAACCCGATCCGAGAAATTTTCTAAAACCCGACCCGAAACCCGACCCGAGAATTTTTATTTTTCAAAACCCGACCCGAAACCCGACCCGAGTTTTTTCAAAATTTTCGCCCGTGAGGCAGAAAAAGGGAAGATTTTTAGCTTAATGATCCTCCAAAATTCTGAAAATTTTCGCCTGCGGCGCTGAAAAAGGGAAGATTTTTAGCTTAATGACCTCCAAAATTCTGAAAATTTTCGCCTGCGGCGCTGAAAAAGGGACTTTTTTCGACCCGAAACCCGATCCGAAGAAAATTTTGGAAACCCGATCCGAAACCCGACCCGACTTTTTGCTCAACCCGATACCCGAAACCCGATCCGAGAAAAATTTTGGAAACCCGACCCGAAACCCGACCCGACATTTTTCTCAACCCGTGACATCCCTGGTGTGTGTACTTAATATCAAGAGTATATAGTTTTGACTGATTGTGAGATAGGCCTGAATGTATTTAAAAACGAGGTTTTTTGTTAATTCAAGTACCTGGCATTTTGGTTGTGTACAATGTTTTGCATGATAACAACAAAGAGCAATCAATTGTTTACAAACAGCACAATTTGCCCCAGCAGATGCTCTTCTTTTGCACGCCTTTGTGTGCGAAATAACCCTTTTCATTTTGTGACAAGTTCCACGACGACAATTTACATCCCGGCATGTGCAGGCATGAACAAGAGAAGTAATACATCTCTTTATAGACTCATTTCTTGAAACGGCGGATGCATCAGAAGATGCTTTTTCTTCAACAAGTGATAATTTTTCCATATCGTGAGGATGGTCAATTTTTGTTTTGCAGGATTCACAGAGGTCGTAATCCTTTAAAATAGAAAAAAATTTGAAAATTAAAATACAGTCAAACTTAATTGTAAGATACTCCAAGAAGCTTAAAAATTGCCCCTTATAATGCTATTAAGTCTATGCTACAGGCAACTAACTAATCAAGATTAAATTTCATATATAAACCCTGAAACTAAATGTTAATACCCCAAAAAGTGAAAAGGATTTATGGAAATGCTAACTAGAAGAATAAAAGAAGCATAATGGAACAATATTTAAAGGGTTATTTCTCAGAGTTTATGTAGAGGAAAATGATGGGTAAGTTTTTGACGAAATTACGTTCTTGCTTGGGGAAATTATGATTTTACTCATTGAAAAAGAGGGGAAATAAAGAGTAAAAAGATCTTCCGCAATAAAAAGTCCACAAAAAGGGAGTGGGTGGGTGGTAATCTTTAAATGGGAGTACCCAATATCCCCTCCCCAAAAAGGGGAAGGTAATTTATATTGAAGTCTGACTATATTAAACAACAAAATTACTAAATCTTACATCGCAAGTATTGCAATGATAAGAGGCTGATTGTTCACAAACATTGCAAGTATAACTTAACCCTTTGTTTTCTTGTTCTTGTGTATGTAAAGTATAACAAAAGTTGAGAGTTGACCATTTTGCTCTTCTTAATTGACTAAATTCCCAATGTTCATCTCTCGATTTTGCCAAAAAATTATCTCTTGTATCCATCAATTCACAACTAATTAAAGGATCCGGATCTTCAATTCTCGGTTTTTGTCCAATGATAATTTGTTCATCATGGACAGAGAATAAACGAATAGTAAAGAAAACGTCGCGATGCTTCTCCAATTGTTGAAATAAACGATCAACAACAGGATTGCCTGTTGTTACACCTCCCTTCTTTTTTGTATTTTGCGCTGATTTTTTAAGGTTACTCTTCTTCTTATGATTATTATTATTTGTCTTTTGTTGTTTTTTAACTGGTAATCCATCATCTGTTTGGAATGTGTCGTCATCTGAAAAAAGGGAGGGATTTATTTGGTAAAGCGGGAAATTTTATAAAATAGGGTGAAGATTCGTTTCAAACCCGCTCGGTGTAAAACAATTTGTTCTTGTACAAACAAAAAAGTTAGGTTCAAAAAATAGCCTCAAGACTAAAAAACAAGCTTTTTACCCGAAAGGTTTGACGAATCTTCCGTTTGTGCTTGTTGTAAAGCTTTTCTTTTATCAATTTCTTCATCTTTTTCTGCACTTTGTATACATTCATCTATTATTCTAGGCCAATAATCTCCTTCAAAATAAGGTAATCTCGTTGGTGTGTCAAGTCCATCATCTTTTGCTTGATTAAATATATCTTTATAGCTATAGACTGTTCCTTCTTCATTTCCATTATTTAACATTGTTTTGTACCAATCTTGTAATCTTTTAGGTTTTGGAATTTTTTGTTCAGTTGGATGACAATGAAATATATAATCGTCGCCTTCTGAAGGAGGGCATGCCCAAATATGTGCCATTGTATAACCAAGACGTTTGACATACTTAAAAAATTAATATTAAATTAATAAAAAATGGTGGACTAGTTTTCGATTTTTTGATGTTTAAGTTTTTTTGAAAAAAGGGTTTCGGCTCTCGAGTTAATCTTAAAATTTTCACCTTTCAAAATTACAAATGGAAAAGGGTATATAATTGTAAAAATAAAATTAATTTAGAAAAGCAGTCGATAAACCATTATCTTCTCGTTTTCCATTTGTAACTATTCTGATAAATTTTATTTACTATATTTATACCATTATAGGCTCCAAACCCTTTTGTAATTTGCAAGGAAAAAGGATAAAGTCATAGGGCCATCCCCAAACAGTCAAAGAAAAAAACAAAAATAAATTTCTCAACCTGCAAATATCCCAAAAGGATTTCATAATAAACAGAAGTTCTCAAATGCCTCGGTTGGAAGAAATGAACAGAATCTAGATAGGCGATATAAACACGTCTTTGGTTTGGTTGAGCACAATTAGTTCCATATTCTTGGACATACAAACCAAAGAAACAAACTTCTGTTGAAATACCAGTGTCTGGATCTTTCAAAACTTCAAATGCAAAAATGGCTTTTGAGCGGTAAGCAAAACGTTCAGGATAACCAGAGGCTCCATATCTTCAAGAGAAAAATTTTTTTAATTTATAAAAACCTCATAAATACCGCTTAGGTATTTTGGATTCACATTTTAAATCAATCTTCTCCCAAAATTTTTCTATTTCCCTTATTTCGGGGGGGGGGGGGGGAAATTCAGGCCATGGCACGCCCTTACCTAATATTGGGGGTATTTACCAAATGTGGTACAACGACTAAATAAATTATTTTAAACACAAACTTTTTCAACATTTGAGGTTTAACTTCAACTTCCTTATCAGAACTTGAAAGAACACGAATTATAACTTCAATTTCAGGATCATTTTCATCTAGTTTTTGTCTCAAAAAGTTGTTAACTCTGTCTTCAATATAACGACTAATTTGGCAATGTGGCAATTCTAAAAAGAGAAAATTTCAAAAAAAAATATAAAAAAAATTCCTTACTTTTGGCAGTAAATTTATTTTCTGGGCGTGGTCTACTTTTTTCAACACGACATTGTTCACAAATAAATCCTTCAGGATTTATTTTACGATTATTTAATGCACATATTCGGTGCCATTTTCTATCACAAATTAAACAATTATCAAAAGGTTCCATATCAACTTGATCATTTTTCATTTTTTGAAACATTGTTTTTGGTATCCAACTGAAAAAAGAATAAAAATTAAAAAAAAAGAGAAGACCCCCCCCTACAAATAAATATAAATTCAGCCAGTAGTTGACTGAAATAGGGTTGGCGAGGATCTGGACTAGAAAGAAGTCAGACTTATAAACAGGACTGTGTGTGTCTCGTGTCGGGTCAGTCTCACGTCAGAATAAAAATTCAAGATATCCGATTACTAAATCCGCTAACAACAAAATAAACATAACTATATATGGCACAGTCTAATTGTTTAGGTAAAAGAAGTGAGACCTCCCTATCTCCTAACACCTAACTTTGAATTTTCACCCTACGATTTTAACACTTGTATAGGGATGAGTAGGGTTAAGAAACTGTCGGATTGGGATTCGAGTTTCAAGTCGAAAAATAGCGGTTACGTTTTCAGGATGTATGAGAAGACCTTTCCTGACCCGAATAACGAAATTTCTAAAAAAAATCGAAAAACAAAAACAAACTTTGGAGGATCAGAAGTATTTTCATTCAAATTAATTCCCTTTTCAGGCAAAGCTTCAAAACATTTAACACAATAAATATATTTTTCAGCAACAGTAACACCAAAACCGCTAGAACTACATTCATACATAAAATATGGTTGATCTCTAGCAATAACACAAGCAGCATTATTTTTAGTTATTCCAAAACAAAATTGAACTAATGGAGTAAATGAAAGTTTTTGACCACAACAATAACCCATTTGTCTCATTACTGGATTAATTTCTTCAATAAATATTTCGCTTAAACGAGTACACCATTTGTGGACCTTTAAAAAGAATTTTTTTAATTTTTAATTAATTTAGAAGACAGTCAACCCTCATAATAAAATACCACCTTTGAGGCTGAAAAATTGCCTTTTATAACGAGGTGTAACTTAAATAGAAAGGTATTGCCCCTTCACATAGAAGCAAACCAAATTTGAAAATCTTATCTTAAATAGAGGTGTAATTTTGCGGGTAACTTATAATGATATTGAGGTATTTTAAACTGACAGGTTTGACCAAATTAATAAAAATTGAATAGTTAAAAATATACTTTTGTGTTTTTACGATTGTAGAGCCAAGCATTTTCAAACATTAGCCACATGTGATCACAAACCTCCCATGGATTTTTATATTTTCCTTGATCTAGCCCATCTTTTATTGTTTTAAGATCCATTGGATTTTTAATAATATCAAAGTAATCCTGAAAAAATTTTTATTTGTTAAATTTAAAAAAATTTTGCCAGTTAGAAGAGGGTTCCGAATTGCAAATAAAAAAACTCCCAAAATCTCAAAGGTCTTCCAAAAATAAAACAAATTTAAAAAATTTCCAGAGGGTCAAGACTTGTAAAATTAAATCCTTAATAGTACTACCCTAACCAAAAGCGGTATTTGTCGACAGAATATTTTTTATTATGAAAACTACCTTAAATAGATCTTAAAAGATCAAAAGTCAGAGGGAGTTCCGAGTTTCTGACTTTTTTCGAAATAAAAATTCTCAAAATCCTTTTAGAGGTCCAAGACATATAAACTGAACCCCAATTGAAGTAAACATGATATTTTATAATAAAAATATAAAGAACTTACCGGAATGTTTAACGACTCCGGATCTACAGGTAAACGGAAAGGTATACATTCAGGTTCAGTATCCCACAATTTTTGCCATACTGGTAATAAATGGCTTCTCAATTCATTAGCACTAAATATCTTTGGATCACGAATTATAGGTTCAGGAGGAGCAGTTGAAGTGCTTGGCTTAGATTCTTTAGGTGTTGTAGGACGCCTATTAGTATTAATAGTTGAAGCAGATTCTGAAGATGTTGATGGAAATATGTTGGTGTTAGTATTATTAGTTAATTCCATTTTAATTGATAATGATAGTTCTGAGTTTGATGGAATATCTGAAAAAAATATTGATAATTAAAAAAAATTAATAAGCAAATAATAGAGATTGAATTGATGAAAGATCATAAAAACAAAATGGGCACTATTTGCCTCGCCTAGATTTGCTACGGCCATAAATCGGGAAAGAAACTAAAGGCATTTCTCCCCAACACATATTCAGTGCAAAGACCACAGAATTTCTATTTTTGTATTTGCATAGATTCTACGGGAAAAGACGACCGCAGATTCTGCAAAAACATGATGGATTCTAACAGATGTTCAAAATAAAAAATATGCATCAATGTAACTGACCGGTAGGTCTGTTACACCCCCCCCCCCACCTCCGAAAAAAGATAGTAAATTTAACTATATATCAAATCAAGCCGGACTCCCCAACATTTCCCTAAACACAAAATAAAATAAAAATTAAATTTTCCCTTACCAGGTTCCTCAATCTTTGGACGTTTATTAGGTATTTGATCAACAAAATTTAACATTGGTTGATTCCCTTGAGGCTGTTGTTGTTCACCTTTTGGTTCTTGCTTTATTTCTCTAATATGTACTGATTGTTGATGTATCAATGCTTGATGATGTTGTTGTAAATCTGCCTGTTGTTGTAATTGTCCTCCTCCAAGTTGTTGATTTTGTTGTTCATTTAATCGTCGGTTTTTCTTTTCTTGCAATTCTTTTTGAATTTTGTAAATTTTTTCTGCTAACATATGATAATAAGCTTCTTTATCTGGCGCTTGTTCGAACATGTCTTTTTCGACCTTTCGAGCATATGTGATTAAATCACGAATGCGTTGGTCATGAATTGCAGCAGGATCGGGTGATGGAAAAATGGCCTTTAATAAAAGATTTGGGCTAGCTTTGCTTGAAATTACTAACCTAAAAATCACATCTCTTACTAATAAACTCAGGTACCATGCCGGGTGTCAGTAGTTAGTATAATCCCCAAAACTTATCTACTACTAACATGCATAGAAAAGAATCCTTAAAGTTGCCATTACATCCGTAAGGAGAGGGGGGGGGGGGAAAGGGGAATTCCTACCCTCCGAAATTGGGAAGGGAAACAATTTAAGGAGGAAATTGGGGAAATCATCAATGCATGAATAGTCTTTGGTTTTATTCGAAAATTTGAAGCTAACAGCTAAATTAGATAACCCTATGATATTAAACCTATCAGCTAACACCCTACCCTATATTCAAATCTAATTTGTAAAAAATTAAAAAATGAAAACCTTAACCAATTTTCCAACTAAATGATTTCTCAAATCAGGAGTTATAGAAGCATGCCAATCTCTAGTAGTTGCTGGCGGTTCAGGAAGAGGCATTCCATCATTTGATGAAAACTGTTGTTGTCCACTACCTTGACCACCAGTTTTGTTTGGAGGATTTGTTGAACGGAATCTAAAAAAAATTTTTAGACTGCGGATTATTTAAAAACCAAACGGATTTGGATTGTATCCATCCAATAAAGTATTGACTGTTGTTGCTTGAGATGGTGGCGATCCAAACATTTGTTGAGAAGAAACTTGACTTTGAGGTTGTGATGGTATTGATGAGCAAGAAGGACCAGCACCAGAAGCAGCTGATGATGATGAATGCTGTAACATTGGACCACCCCCACCAAAGTTTGAAGGATTTAAGATCATATCTAAATAATTAAAAATTTAAAAATAAGCATTGAAGCAGCGATTCAAAAGTACAATATTAAGCTTATCAATGGACGAAGGATCGATGAAAACATAATTATTTTTGCTATTTTCCTTGTGACGAGGAATAATTAAATAAAGGCAAGCGAATAATAAAAAGACCAAGAAATCATGGAGAGACAGGGAACGGCTAAGGATACAAGGATCTAATGAGGGCAGGGTCGATCAAGATATACAATAAGGGCTATAAAACCAGTGAATGAGGGCAAAGGATTCACAGAGTTTATAAGTCCAACGGAGGCAGGGTAACAGCCGAACGAGAGTCAGTGATCAAAGGGGGGCCAAGTAACCTTGAATTAGGACCAGGAATTTAATAAGAGTAGGGGAGAGCTGGGAATTTTTTTGATAATAAAATTTAAAAAATAAGAGACAGGAATCCATTATCATTTCGATAAAAATACCAAAAGGTCTCCAAAAATTTCACAGAAGAAATCTTTTAAAAAACCTTGTTTATGTTCACCACCAGCGGCACCTTGTTGATGTGTATATCTTTTAACAGGATTACACACAGGACAATCTTCTTTAGTACAATTTTTCCAATGAGAAATTATTTGGCGAGAAGAAGCACAATGAGCAAATTGACATTGACGCCCATATGTACATTTTACCATGTGCTCCAAAACACCTTTCATTGTACTACAATAGGGAAGATTGCAGTGGCTACGATTTTGGGGCTCCACCTATTTAGAAAAAAATTTAAAAAAATCAACAAAAAGTAACCTTATCTCGCTGTTGACATTTATGTGCATGCAACAAAAGAACTAATTGTTGTTGAATTAATTTTCGTTTTTCAGGATCTTGTGGCTGTGTAGTACCCACCAATTGTTGTGATGGTGGTGGGAGGTGTTGTGGTGGTAGTCCACCACCACTTGGACCAGGTTGATTACGCATTGGTTGTTGTTGGCCAGGATCGTTCATCTAGAGAAATTTAAAATTACAAATGCTTGAATGAAAAAGAAGTTTTAAGTAATTGAAGTGAAAAAAGTGGAAAAAATAATTGAACAAATGGGTGTGAGAAAAATAAAAGAGTTGAAACCAAAGGGACAGCGAAATGTGGTTAAGTGGCGCCCGACGTAACAACAAGGCTTAAATTCAGATAATCTCGGGTAAGTAAAAAATGTCAAAAATTCGGCGCAGATACTTTTATGAAAAAAACACAAAAAAATCAGAAAATTTTCACGTACCATTATTCCACCTTGAACTTGAGAAATAATTCCATGTTGAGATTGTGATGAAGGTACAGAAGAGACGGGATGTCTAGGTCCTCCTTGTATTGCTTGATTTCCATTTACCATTACAGGTTGAGAATTTGGACCGGAATTAATTTGTTGTTGCATAGGACCACCACCCATCATTGCTGATGATTCTACTGGACCACAAGGACCAGACATTATCTAGAAAATGAATTGTCTCTAAAATAAATTTAAATTGTTTCTCGACAAAGTAAACTGACTGAAATTAGGTAAAAAACTGCCCTAATCTGAATCTTAGTTTTTGGACTAAAAAACTAAAGTTTAGTCAGTGTAAAAGTTTACAATATTTGATTCTAGGAGACATTTAGTCAGATGCTTTATTTTACAAGGACAGAGGTTTTGTTACGGGGATGTTCAAGAACTGTTCAGGGGACAAAGAAGTCAGAGAAATTTGTGTCATGAATATCGTCAAAACAACATCGATCAAAATGTTTTGATTAAATTGGCTGCTCAGAAATGTTTAATTCTAAACCAATAAAAATTACTCGTCATAACCCTTCCCTCCCTCAAATTACAAAAAAAAATTAAAAAAACCTGATGCCCAGTAGAACCAAAACCGGGTGGATGAGGCATTCTATGTTGTGGCCCCATTTGTTGTTGACCAGCATTCATAAAAGAAGGCATTTGTTGATGTGAAGATGTACTTATCATTTGTCCTCCTTGTATAATATATCCATTATTAGATTCAGACAGAGGTAATCTTTGATGTGGCCCTCCTCCAGGCATAGGTTGGAATTGTTGTTGATGATGATTCCCCCCATCAAAAGAGTTATGACCAACCATATTTTGATTCAATATCATTGTCCCTGCTCTTCCTTGAGTTGGAGGGGTTGGGGCATTTGACATTACAGCACCTATCGAAGAGGAATAAGATTTAGTGCTTTTCCCTGTTCTATTCTAAAAATCAAACAGTTCCTTCAACAGAGACACCTTCGGCGCATGCGTCTCAGCGCCGAAAACTCGGCGCTGAGATTTTCGAAAACAAAAATGGCATAACCCTGTTCAAGACAATTTCGTTACTAGACGGTCCCAAAAATTTTGTTAGGGTTCGTTGATTACAAGTTCCATGAACCGTGAGGAAAAGAAAGAGCTGATTAAAAATGAAAAAAATTTTAAAATAAAAACCTGGATGAGGATTTTGTTGACGAACAATGTCTTTCATAATTTGTTGTGGCCCTGACATATTCGGAGGAAATCCTTGTCTAATAGTTTGTTGGGGTAAGGCACCACCATGAGCTAGTCTAACAGAATTGGCCCCGTACATGTTTTGTCTTGGATGCCTTCAAAATTTTTAAAAAAATCAAAAAAAAATTTGAAAAAAAACTGTGGAAAAGAAGAAAATTGTTGCTGATTGTGAGGTGGAGGAGGACCAGCCATGATTTGTTGTCCTTGTATATAACTTCCTGGAGGCAATGAACTTGAAGGTTGACCGCCAATATTTGGGTCAAACCCTGGTGGCATTGGTTGGCGCATTTGTTGCTGTGCTGCTGAAAGCCGTTGCTGAGCCATGCTTATATTTGAGGATTGAGAACTTGGTGCAGACATTGAGGGAGGCATTGGGCTTCTTAAAAAATTTATTTTGGGTAATTGAAAAGTATCCAAACGATTTTATAACTACCAGGATAGTATTATGTGTGTAACCTGAGGGGTTAATAGGGATGTAATCCTTTGGCATTCGATCGCCCAAATAAATGATAAAAGTGGACAAAAGATACCAAACACCCTAAAACAAAACTCAAACCCTTCCTTACTTGTTTGGGTAATTTCCAGCTGATGAGTAAGACTGCTGCCTAGGACTATTATTTATATTAGAAGAGGCACTAGAAGATTGGTTGTTTAAAAGAAGTTCCAACACAGCACTTTGTTGCTGCGGGACTTGACCTACTGAATTTGGTCCATGTTGACTATTTAGTCGTTGCTGAGGTGGGGGTTGTGAGGAAGGATGGCCAATTGAAGGAGATGCTGTTGTTAGACCGTTTAACATCTTTAAAAAATTAAAAATCAACGGGGAAAGAAGGCAGAAGATTAAATAAGTTGGAGGCACTAGCAGCGTTAGATGTTCGATTTTTGGGATTCGGAGCACGAAAATTTTTTTAGAATTCCCCAACTTTTATTAAGGAAAGGCCTAAGTAAAAAAAAATCGAGGATGGTAGGTGCTTTAAACTTTTTAGAATTTAAGGCTCAATTGCCACCTTCAACTTTTCTTCGAGGGCCTCCAACTTTGCTCCATTTCTGGACGCTGTAAAAAAGGGGGAAGCTTAGGGCATAACTCGCACATTAATATCATCGTTTTTGATGGAAACGATGAATAAACTCGACAAAACATTTCCTATTCACCCCCGCTATGTTTCTATCAGAAGGAGAAATTTCTGCTTTGCATTGTTCTGAGGAGACAATTTCAGAATATTACCTCCCCCCCCCCATATACCCTTTCTCATCCTTAATTTCTCTCTCAAAGCCCTCAGAGACTGAGAAATCCCCCACAACTAGAACTGTTGGTTCTTGGAAAATCCTCAGATATCCGGAACCACACCAAAAAATCCTCGGTTCTTCTGCTCCGAACCGACCCCCCAACCCCCTTCGAGTGATTCCCCCTTAAGACATTTAAAAATAAAATACCGGTCCATTATGAACAGGATTACTAGTAGAACTACACGATGGAGCAGAAGACTGAAGGGAAGATTGTTGTGTTGATTGTTGTTGTTGTGAATCGACAGGATCAAGCTTGTCAAGTTCACTAAACCCATCCAAATCCATTTCATCGTCAAAGCTTGGTTGCGAAGCCATTTTTCTTTTACGTTCAGTAGAATGTTCTTCCATCGTTTTATCTTCACTTGAAGTCATTTTAATGTTTTGATACACAAGTTTACAAAATAAAATATAAGAAAATGCTTTTGCAGCGCATGTGCAAAAAGTGGATGATAGGCACTAACACTCCTTCAACTCTTTCTTTGTAAAATATTTTTTAACTATGAAAGAAAAGTTGTTATAAAATGTTCATACAATCAAAGAGAACCCACGTCTTAAGTTTTTCTTGAATACAGTAACCGATCGATTTTCAAGAGGTATACGGTAACTGATCGAATTTCGGTACAAACTAAAGGTGAAACGTCGAGTAGTCTGCAATCTCTAGCTATACCAGAATCAGAAAGACCAGAATCAGAAAAACAAAAATTTTTTCTGAACCCTGAGAAAATCAGACCAAAAAAAATCTAGGCCAGCAAGACAAGAGAATCTTGAAAAAAATATAACCGCAATGGCGCCTATGCAAAGACTAGAAAGGGAAAATAATTTTTAGTGAGAGAATGCAATGAATATGAAGGATGAGGGAAATAAGAAGAGAGATATATAGTGGGGAGAGTGTGTACACCACGAGAAAAGAAGCGGCTCCCATACAAAATCTCTATTCCTTAAAATCGCTATTCCTTAAAATCTCTACTAGGGTAAAAATGCTTAAAATCTCTATTCCTTAAAATAACTATTCCTTAAAATCTCTACTGGGGTAAAAATAATTAAAATCTCTACACCGTGCAAATGGACGGTAGAGTCTCAACAAAAGTGTAAAATATGAACTATTCATTGGAAAACCCAGACTTGGTAATGGATACGGATACAATTGATTTAAAAATGGCTGCGGATATCTGCTTGTATCCGCTGTAAATATCGAAGATATAATACACGACTGCTTCGCTGCGGTCGTGTTCATTTTGCTTGCGGTGATCGTATCGAAGCGGCTGCTGTCGTTCCGCTGGACATGCCTGGGTTCATCCGCAGCGGCAAAAACAATACAAGCAAAATAATATGAAAAGATAAGCCAGAAATCAGAACAACGTTTCCGCACTGAACGTTGGCACTCAAAAGGCTTCCGAATGAAAAAATAGACATTTTATCCTATTTTTGGCCGTGTAGAGATTTTAAGGCATTTTACCCTTGTAGAGATTATGAGGAATAGAGATTTTAAGGAATAGTTATTTTAATCATTTTTAGCCGAGTAGAGATTTTAATGCATTTTAGCTGTGTAGAGATTATAAGGCATTTTAGCCCAGTAGAGATTTTAAGGAATAGAGATTTTGAGGGGATACGAAAGAAGCTTTCTCTCTCTTTTTATTTTTCTCTGTTGTTTAACGCTAAAATTTTGCACATCAATATAGTGTTACTGTATAGCCGCGTTTTTAAACATTTTTTGAGTGGAACTTTTTTTTAACTCATTTGAGTTTTTTTTAATTTTTAATGGAGTTTGAAAATTTTTTGAAAAAATTTTTTTTTGAAAATTTGAAAAAAATTAAAAATTTTCAAAAATTTTTGAGGTTTAAAATTCAGGTTCAACAAATGGACTTTTTGTTTAAAAAATTGGGACACGCCCAAGTAGGCGCGCGGCCATAACGGCGCAAAGCCATAACTAGCTTGAAAATTTCTGGCCCTTAACAGTTTTGATACCAATCTCTTTAGCTCGATGAGAGGAATCGTTTAATACTAAATTTTGAAAGAATCGGAAATTTTGAAACAAGTTATGGCTTTGCGCCATTATGGCCGTGCGCCTACTTGGGCTGTACCCAAAAAATTAAATTTAACCTTAAAATTAGGGTTGTTCACTACCGGTATTAACCGGTACCTCCGGTTTTCGGTTAATCCAAATTTTAAAAACCCGGTTTTCGGTTTTGAGTTTTAGACAAATACCGGTTTTATTTTGGGGGAATTTTTAATAAAATCACTCATTTTCACAAAGTTCCGGTTTTTAGTTTTTAAAATTTTCTAAAAACGGTTAATTTTTGGCAAAAAAATTTCAAAAATTCCGGTTTTAAAACCTGTCGTGAACAACCCTACTTAAAATTTTCAAAATTTTCGCCTGTAGCGCAAAAAAAAGTGAATTCAATGGACTAAAGAAAGAAATACTCTTGATGTCAAGACAGTCAAAGCATTGTTGCTTGTAACTGTTATTTTTAACCGAACCGAAAATTTCCGGATATCCTGCCTTTTTTCGGATCCGGATATCCGGATCCAACAACTCTAGTGGTTACCTTACCGGCAACCGAGTTCTCATGATACGGGCCCAGTGGCCACCCTGTTGAATTCTTCTTCTTTTTACTCCTAACAAAAAATAAATTTAAGGAAAAATGGTTGTCGTTTTATTGAAAATTTTCAAATATCCAGAACTTAAAAATCCTCCCACCTCATTATAAGATACCCCCAATATAAGATACACCTCTATTTAAGAGACGTTTTATCAAAAGTTATCTGGCCATATGATAGGAGAGTGCTTAAGCGAGGACCCTCTATTCAACAAACAACTCACTATAAGGTACGATTTTTCAGACTTAAGGGAGTATCTTATAATGAGGTTTTCAAATTTTTTTTAACAAACAAAAATATTTTAATTTTTTTTCTGGATTTTCTTCCCTTTTCCTGTAATCTTACTTCTTTAGATATTTTCTATTTTTATTCCAAGCATTTGCATAAATTTGCCAAGTCTTTAAAAGCAAAAAAATTAAGATTAAAAATAAATAAATGAATGGAGAGTATGTGTATTTATGTATATCTTTTTGGCATTTTGGAAGAAAGAAAGGAATTTTTTAAGAAAATATTCTCCTTATTTAATGCCCCCCCCCCCTCTTTGGGGCGAAAAATTGACCCTTATAAGAGGTGTATTTTAAATGGAGGTAATGTAACTGAGAAGGTATTTTTCTCTATATGTATAAGATATGCTTAGTTATCTTCCCACAACTAATGGCCACCCAAAATTTTAAAACGTCTCTTAAATAGAGGTATATATATTTAGTATCCAAAATACTCTCCTTATTAGATAATCTCTAATTCAAAATAAGTTTTATTAAAATTTGATTGGCAATTGGGTGGGGGAGCTGCTTAAACATTACTTGTGTACTTTTGTTGGCCACCATCGTTCGTACATATGTAAATCCTTTTTGTTTTTTAATAAAATTTAAACCAGATTTGAATAAAAAATATCTTTATATTTGGGTTTATTTTATCCAATTTTTAAGGCTTTTTTTAGTTTTTTTTTTCTCATTTCTTTTATTCGTGTGGAAAGAGGTGGAGAGGGAGTCTCTTCCTACGAGAGGGAGTTTCTTCTCTACGTTTTCGGGTTGAAAATCCCAATTTCCAAAATTGTGATTTTATTTTTTAAGTCGGCATTAACAACAAAAAGATTGGAAGGACACCCCTATTTTTTCATTGAAAAAGTGCCCATTTCGGTTTACACTTTTTCAAAGGTTTATGTCGGGAAAACAGGGTGTCCTGTTAAGCATTGGAGGTGAAAAATTTTGTATGTAAAAATGAGGTGTATATAAAATCGAGGAGGGGTATCCTCTCCCCAATCAGTGGCCATGACACTAAAATTACGCTAAACTGAGTTGGGATTCGATATCTAATAATATAAACATATATCATAATTACATAAGTCAAGTTTAAAGTCAAAGTTGTAAAATTGGCTGACGCTTACTTAGCCGCGCTTAGTTGACCCCTCAACCTCTCTGATTATAGAACTTGATCTTTTTTGATAATATATCCCCCCCCCTCCCAATTTTCATTTCTATATTAACAACTTTTTTAATCTTTTTTTTTCTTTAAAAAATGTTTAAATAGTCAATTTTATGTTTCTTCTCTTTTTTCAATTTTACCTCTCGCTTTTAATACATACTTAAAAATATTTTTAGCTTTTCCCCTCTTTTCTTCTTCATTTTCTCCCCTTTAGGCTTTTCCCCCCTTTTCGCAACAAATAAAAAAAAGAAGATTAAAAAATAATAAAAAAACTACTCAAATTTCCCAACAAATTTTTGTGTTCTTCACTCTTTTTAAAAATATTTTTAATAAAATATATTCTCAAGTATGCCAATCAATCTCTATTTTTTTGAAAGGGATTTTAAAAAGATTTTCTTAATCCTTTTTAAATTCTCTTTTTTCGCACTCAATTCAATTCATCATAATCCTCTCTTCTTTCAACAATTACAACAAGTATACATACAACTTGTATTTTAAATCAGAATTATTTAAATATCAGAATTTAAACATAAATTTGAAACCAGAATTATTTTTAAACTTGAATTAAAATCAAAAAAATCAGAATTATGTATATAATGTCAAAATTTAAATCAAAATTATAAGTTTAATTTAAACCAGAATTTAAATTGAAGTATAAATTCTGAAATAATTCTGATTTAAATTTTTTTTTCTTTTTCTTTAAATTTTCACTCATACATTAACCTTTTAATTACCTAAAATATAGATTACATTTTATTTAAAAAATCCAAACTTTTATTTCTAAATTTATTGTTGTTTAAAGAATTATTTATTTGTCTGTTTATCTTTTCCTATCTAATTTTAAATAACAATTAATTGTTAATGAAGTAATTGGGCGTGTTAATTTTTGGGCAAGTCTCCCCCTAAATATCAACTTTCATAGAGAGGAATTACCTCATGGCCATTTATTTATTAAAAACGTTTCTGTGCCTTTAAACTAATTTTATTTTAGAATTTAAACCAAGGTTAGAACTTTAGGCCTGTGTGAACTTTACTTTTTTTGGTCTTCGCTACACTAGTAACATTTCTACCCTTTTTCCGCGCATCGCTTTCTTCTTTAGTTTTTAATTTAATTCCACATTTACTCTAGCAATTATTTTATTAAGCCAAAATATCCCTAAAAATTTTTTTTCAGCGCCAGAACATCCCCAAAGTACTTTGTTTTAAAGTCCAAATTTTTCTAAAATTTATGGAAGCCTTTCTCTTTTCATAAAAAATAAAACAATTGTCAAATAAATACTTTAGAAATCTTCCAAAAAAATATTTTTTATTTTATTTATTTATTTCACTCTCACAAATCACTCTTTTCTCGCTTTTAACATTTTTAACCCCCACAAACAAAAAATTTTTTTCTTTTTTAAATGACTGCCGGTCCACATTTTTTCTAA